CATTTTAATAATATCATGAGAGGACTTGGACAATCAGTGGGCAAAGGAACTTGCCACACAAGCCAAGTGATATGATTTGGAGCCCCAGGACCTATGCAAGGGGGCAGAGAGAGCTGACTCCACCAAGTTATCTTTGAATACTATATGTTTACAATAGCGTTCAAACCTATACACACAATAATAACAAATTTTAAAAGTTAACAACATAATAAATGCACATAGTTGACAAAAGAGTGCATAACACCATAACAGTAATGAAATACACACTGTCTGGTACTTACATGGAGAACTGGCACATGAATTTATGCCTCTTCTGCTCAGAGAACAAAACCACTGACATGAAGGTATACACATGCTTTCCTTTAGAATTCTTTATTGCTTTTTTATGATGAATATTGAAATCTTGTGTTTTGTGACATAGATGTTGTTATCTTCTCTATCTTATGATGCTTCAATTTCCTACTGTATTATGATTAATTTTAGTAAAATTTGTCAATCTTTCAAATTTAAAAAGTTTGTTTCTCATTAAAAATAACACTAACAAAAATGGGAATCACAACAGAATTCTGTCTAATGCTTTGCTCTGACAGGCTTGCATCCCCAGAGAACAATGCTGATGGATGCTAGCAGTAGAGCAACGGTATTATTTTACATGTCAAAGATTTGAGGAAATATGATTGTCTTACGCAGGTATACAGTTAGAATTTGAACCCTGAAGTCTAGTTTCAGAGTTGGTATGCCATAGCACCCTCTAAGACATAATCACAGCAATTATACTGTGTGGAAATGAGACTCAAAGACGTTGAATAACTTGCTGGATGGTGCACAAGCCAAGTTACATACATTATATGAATTTCAGCACACATCCTCCAAGAATTCTATCCTTTCCTTTTCTTGCCATTCTTTCCTAGGCCTAAATCCTATCCTTCTAATTCTGTTTCCACAAGTTCCACTCTATTTGCTACGTTTTGAGGGTCATCTAGTTTTTAATTACCTCTTTAGAGAGCTGACTTCATGTATAGTCTTTGTTTTACTCACAGAGTGAAAATTTAACTCTGAGTTACAGATATAGCTTATCCTTCTTAGAATTTATCATATGCCTTTATATCTTATCCTGAATTTCTGTGCAATTATCACCTCTTAGAGCCCCACCTGCTGACCTTCTAGTATTCTACAAGCAGTGCTATTTATAGGAGACTCTCTTACATTAGGCTTCATGGTATCTCTTTTCCATTGGTTGCAATAAACATGTCCAAATTTCTTTGATCACCCTCTTCATTTTTATTTGGATCAAATTTTAGTGCTTTGAACATTTAATTTACACTCACAGATGACTGAATGGTTCATTTGGTAAATGTTCCTGTCTCTGAACCTAATGCCCTTAATTCATTCCCCAGGCCCCACAATGTAGAAGACAATTAAGTTTTGCAAGTTGTCCTCTGACCTTCATACATAGGCTGTGACACATGCATACCACACACACCCACATACAAATAAAAGAAGGGTAATTCATGCTGGACTGCATCTACACAAATCAAGGACGATAACATCTTTTCTCTACCTTTCTAGCAAGAACAGGCACTCAATGAAAGTTGGCCACAACTTTTTTTTGAGAATAAATTACTATCTCTCACCTCTGTGGCTTCTTTGTGTTTCAGTAAAGCAATTTTAAGACACTCCTGGAGTTTTAGAAAGTCCTTCATTCAGCCTAAATTATTTCCAAGTATAACCTTTAGTCATGAAAATTGCTCTTTTAATTTTGTTAATATATCTCCTCTTTGCCCAAGATGTGTTATTCTCTGTTGTCACCTCTATCATGTATTCTCCCTGTCAGCCTGATCCCAGAGTCACATCAGTCCTAAGTGAACACATAGGACATTATATTAATTATGAAGCTGTTGGCTATTTGCTATGGTTTCTTAATGGCTAGCTCTGACTTAATTATTAACCCATAATTACTAACATATATTTTTATAAGGTCTTATCTTACCGAGAATACCAGACTTGTTCCCTTTCCTCCCAGAACCACATGGTGACTCTCCACTCCTGACTACATTTCCCAGAATCCTACTCAACTCCTAGTCCCACCTATTTTGCTTCCCTATTGGTCAATAGTGCTTTATGTATCAACCAGTAAGACAACATATGCACAGAAGAACTTACCCCATCATCCTGGCCATGCACATAGGCTGGGTAAACTTACTTCCTGACTCCTGACACCAGATATTGTGGAAATATTAAGGTACCCACAGTAGGGATGTCCTGTGATATTTTATTGAAGGAGAAGTCACTTACATGAGAAGCTAAGAAAACTGAGAACCAAAGGTCCACATGCTGCTCTCCGGAATGCAAACAGAACCCAAAGAGACGCGTTCAGATATCCCTACTCGTGTAGCTTAATATTTCCACGATAGTCACCTACTGAAATTCTGCTTCTAATCCAGGGTCCAGGACAGGAAGATGACTTCTACCCCTGAATACTCTTCTGACCACTCCTTTCAGAACAGATCACAACTTGGAACATTGAGATGAAGCCTAACTCATTAGCTGGTCTCAAAATGCCTTAGTATTTTATGTTTGAGTTCCTTATAACATTACAAATTCTTTGGAAGAAAACCACAAAACTGATATTTAAGGATTTAGGTCTCTCATTACCTTCTTATTTGGAATGGGGATTCTATGACAACATATTACATTTCTGTGGTAGAACCTCTGTGGGTATCTATTGAGTTAAGTATGATTATATTATATATGATATTATTGCATAATCATGCAATCATATGATTATATGATTAGTTAGAGTGAGCCATCCTTTCTTCTCACACTACCAAGAACCATCTGTGCTCTCCATCAGCAGCTCTAATGCTTGCTATCTGGGAACCATCAAACTTCTCTCCTCATTTTATGGTACTCAAGTCTTTGTATTTGCAAAAAGAAAGGAAGAAATTATCACAGTTAAGCAAAGCTCTTAGGATTAGAGACGGTGAAACATATTAACAAATAGAAGCCATCATCATTATCATTTTAAAAGATATATTTAGTGTAATATTTTTAAATGGATGAAGGGAAGGCATGGCAATGGGATATTCATCTAAACCTGTATTTTAAAAAAACTTGCCTCAAATTTAATGTATAAGAGAATTGGGAAGGCATACCATACTTTTTAAATGATTTTCACAATTCTACTAGGATGTGTTTCATACGCAATATCTTATTTATTGTTCATAAAAGCTAGGTGGCTACCTGAGTATTGTGCATCCCTTGTTAAAGGCATAAAAACTAAAATTCAGAGGAGTCTTATAGCATACATCATCCTTAGTATTGTGCTCTCTGAATGACAATTTATACCATACCAAAATATATATTTGTGTGTGAGAAACTGTGTGCACATGTGTATGGAAAGAAAGAAGCATTATACCATGAACTGCCACAAGAAAATGACTTGGATCATCATCCCTTATTAACTACATTTCCAGTGTGTTTATAGGGCATTACTATCTTCCTGGATCAAATGACACATAATGTACCATTAAGAATAACAGCTGAAACCTAAAGTGTCATTTGGAAACTTCTAGTCTGGTCTCACAATGCAACAGGCACTTGATTACAGGCCACAGGAAGGGTAACCTCTGCCATCCTCCTAACTAATGGGACAGAATGTGCCTTTAGATAAAATAGTCTGTTGGTAGCATCATGCAATCTAGGCTGACTTTATATAAGGATGTATTTAAGCATTGCCACAAACTTTGCTTGTGCTTCTTCTGGCAAAGCAAAAGCTGACTCCTTAGTTTCTTTTTCTTTGGATTATGAGAACATGGTTGGCTGAGAATTCTGCTTCATGTATGCAATGTTTCTGTTGGGCTTTAGATATCACAGACCTTTAATAGGGTGATATTTAAGTTATATGAAATTATTAATGTTAAATATAAATATTAAATTTTATGAAAGATGATAGCTATATATTTAATCTGATTATATTCCTGTACTATGCTCTTTTAAAGGGAAGAGTCTTGTGTGTGTTACAAATGTGATACTATTAATATAGCACATATATTTATCTGATATACCAATAAATACCTATCACACCCTTCAATGTATGTGTATGCTTATATGTAGATAGATAAATAGATAGATAGATGAAGGAAGAGACACATGATAGAGCCAAAAAGTAATCAAAGAGATAATGAACAATGAATAAAATATTTTGTACAAAAACGAAACAATAAATATTTACTGGTCTTAAAATCTTATGACTGTACATGTAGCATCTTAATACCAAGGATGATCTATTTTAAATATTTTCCAAGTTAAAAGAAAGGTGAGTATTCCATGCTGAGACCTACCATAAGTGCTGGCCTCCATAGAGGTAGCTATTCTCAGGCATCAGCATCTTGGATGGCAAGGTGAAAAAAAAGATGACAGATATAGATGCAAATCTGTGGGGTATGCCTGGTCAGCAAGCTAGTCCAGATGTGTTTATGTATATCTTCTGTGCCAGGGGATCAAGAAGACAGGAGGAAATCCAAATGTGATCCATGAGGAGGTGGGGATGGAAAGCAACTGCTGCAACTCAGTGGGAATTGTGTCCCAGGAAGAATCCTTACTCCTTACAGTCCCTGGACAGGAAATTATAGAGAACAGCAGCTTCTAGTGGGAGCCTTATGGTGTTCACAGCTTCCAGGATAGATGGTTGTCCAATCAGGGAAACAGAACAATCAGAGGAAAAAAGGAATATACTTTTCATCTGGAAATAAATGCCTCAGCAAACAGCAGAAGATAGGGGCCTGACAGCATAGATCCACAAGCCACTGGTCTTGTCTGAGTCCAGTCACATAACATTGGGTATTATGTGGGGGGAAGAGGATGATCAGTGTTCTCTAAAGACTCTTAACTGTCTGAGCACATGATGGTCATTGTCTCTCACTCTGTCATCTGTTGTTGGAAAAATGGCTAAGCTTATAGTGTTGTTTCCCGCATTCATTTAGTAATTCTTTCTCCAGGTCCCTGAGAGCTACCAAAAGAGAGAAGACCTAAATGAATCAAGGAAACACACCACCATCAAGAACAAAGGCAAACAGAGACTTCATTTCTGTGATTTCTTTTCATGAAACTGAAATCCCCAGATGTTTTGCAAAGCATTTAAGTACATGCCAGCAGCAGAGGAAGTGCTGGCATTCCTATCTGCCTGAGTAGACTACATACGGTCAACTCACTCCCTGCAGAGTACACACAGAAAGCTCCTGTGCTATCTTTTTCTAATAAAATTTCTAGTTTTATGGGGAATGCAGTGAGAAGATGTGTGGGAGAACACAGGTTTCATGGGGGATGCAGTCGTTGATACTCAAGACTCCTGCCAGTCTGTTAGGAAAATGTTAGAAAACTCGGAGTTAGGACAAGCAGTGAAAAGGAAAACAGGAGTCCATGGTGTACCTTGAGGTGGAGGCAGAGTGAAAATATGTCACAGAAACAAAAAATAATGAGGAAGGATGATAAAGAGAAGAAAGGTATGGGGGCAGGAAAGAGAAAGAAAAACTGGAAACACCAAGGAACATGTCAGAGAAGGCAAAGTATCTTCCGGACTTCAGCAAAGACAAAATTTGCACGGAGTAGGGTATAAAACAATGGTCCTGGAACATTTTAGGTTTTGTTTTTTAAGCTGCCCTACATTTCAGTACACCTACTCTCTTTAGATCCATAGGTAACAAAGAGCTCCCACAAGCCTGTTCTCATTCCGTCTTCAGTAGATACTGAAATAGTTCAGCTGTGAACTCAGATAAACTGAGGGTTAGAAGACTGAAATGTGGAGACCCATTGGGGGGGAGTTTATTTTAGTTTACAGGAACATGAATAAATGCATGGACATAGAAAGAGTGGTGAGTCTACATTAGGTGAAAAGTTGTGAAGAGCAGCTAAGAAGAGCTTGGCCTTTGTGTTACATTCTATGGGCATCAGCTAAAGGGTCTGAAAAGGTGATTACTATTAATTGATTTTGACAGTAAGCGATTGTGAAGTGCCTGCTGCATGCTAGACACTGAGCTGAGTATAGCACATTCCTCTCTTCATACAAATATAGATTAAGTAGGTTTAGTAGGCTAAGAATCCTAAGTAAATGAAAATCTAGTGCTCATCGTTTCTAGCAATGCAGTAACATGTTTCTGCTTACTTATGGGGAGAAGTCACTTTTAATCTAAGTGTTGGTGTTAGAGGTGGAAACAGAAGGTAAAAGAAGCTGTTGAAATAGCATTTGAAAGATCAGTAGGTATCTTTTAGGTGCAGAAGCAGAGAAAGTAAGTGAATCCTGGATAGAGTCAGAAAAACAACCAGGGTCCTGAAGCTCTGTCAGCCATCCTTGTTGGAGACATTGTGAACAATTGTAGATGTTGGAGTTCAGGGTTGGGGGCATGGAGTGGGAAACAGCTATGCAGGCCAATCATCATGGTTGAGTCTACATGGTGGTGTTCTGATCCCAGCACTACTGTGGAGAACAGGTTTGGGTGGAAGTCAGTGGTCATGTTAAAAGATCATTGCAACTGTCATTCAAAGACTTCACCAAGCAAAGCACACCAACAGCTATGGGGAGAGGGGAAGTCTGGTCTAACAGTTAAGACAGCAGACCCCAAAAGAGTGAGGAGTGTCCATGACTGGCATTGTAGCTCCTAACCTGATCTTTTAGGTAGAAGAGTGCTCAACGTTTTAGTTAGGGTTTCCATTTCTGTGATAAAACACCATGATCAAAAATTTGGGAAAGAAAAACTTTATTTAAGTTTATAACTGTCATTGAGAGAAGTCAGGGCATGAACTTGGAGGCAGAAACTGAAGCAGAAGCCAGGGAGGTGTTTGCCATGGCTTGCTTGCTCAACTTGCTGTTTTATATAAGTTAAGATAACCTGCCCAGGGATAGCATAACCCACATTGGGTTAACCCTTCCCACATCAATCACTAGCTATGGCATTATCCCACACACTGCCTACAGGCCAATCTTAGAAAGAAAACTTCTCAGTTAAGATTCTCTCTTCCCAGGCTGAGCAGTGGTGGCACACGCCTTTAATCCCATCATTTGGGAGGCAGAGGCAGGCAGATCTCTGTTAGTTCGAGGCCAGCCTGGTCTACAGAGCGAGTTCCAGGACAGCCTCCAAAACAATACAGAGAAACCCTGTCTCGATAAACCAAAAAAAGAAAAAAAAGAAAAAATGATTCTCTCTTCCCAGATTCTCTCTTCCCAGATATGTGCAGGTGTGTGTCAAGCTGTCAAAACCCAACCAGAACAATCAAATTCTCTCATGTGCATAGCCAGGAACACATAACAGTATCTCTCCATAGAGATCATTACATTTCTCTAATGAAAAACCAAATAATTCTCAGCAAAACTTGAAAATGTTATTAAAAGTGTGTTTATGAATGCATCTATACATTATTCTCAACATGTATGAATTTAATAAATAGATTTCCTTACTTTATTTTATGTTTATGTGTGAGTGCTTATGTATATATTTGTGCCCACTATGTGTGCCTAGTTCCTGAAGAAGCCAGGAAAAGGGGATAACTGTGATTATGTGCTATCATGTGGGTACTAGGAACCAAACTAATGTTATCTGCAAGAGAAATAAATGTTCTCAGCTGCCAAGGCATGTTGAATCTTAAATGTCCCTACATTCAAGAATTGAAGACAGAGTTTCACAATAGCCATCACTTGTTAAATAAATGAATCAATTCAAAATGATATTAAACAGGGATTGAGTGTCATGCCTATAATTTAAATACTGAGAATTTTGAATACTTTGAATGTTGAGTACTATAAATCATGTTTATTTATTATTAATACATAGTAATGATATAAATCAATGGGGGTTTGGTGACATTTTCACATATGGATGTAGCATAATTCCATCCATCTATTACTATATGTACTTTCTGCTACCTTATTCCTTTATTTTTCTCTAATAATTACATAATTCCAGACAGAATAGTAACTCTTACTGTAGTGAATCACAATTTTCCATTTGAAAGTTTTGTTTTTATTTTTATTGATGTGTGTGTGGGGGTGTGTGACTGTACTACTTGAAGAGGTCAGAAGAATACATGATGTCAGGTCCCCCTGGAGTTGGAGTTACAGGCAGGTATAAGCTAACCCTGTAGTTCTGGGAACTAAACTCCAGTTTTTTTCCAAGAACTCTTAACTGCTGAACCATTTTTGTCACATTACAGAAAGGGGGAATGTAGAGTTCTAGCTGTAACAGTTCAGGTTTGATGTTATATCACTACTTGCCATTCGCAGGCTCTTGGTCTCTAGTTATAAAAGAGTCATATTTCCCCCTAATTTGTTCTGTGATTTTAAATTAGGTAGCATAGTGAATAATGACAACATGGAGGGTACTAATCGTAAGCTTAATGGATCTGCTGTAATCATCTGTTGCCCTATTGTACAGCAATTTTTTTCTCTTTTCTATTCTCATCATGTCATAAGAAGACCACTACAGATATTGTCCTCAAATCATTTCCATCGAGGTTGTAGGACAGCACTCAGGAAAATTCTCCTGATTTGAACCATTAAACAAACAGCAAGCAGAGTTTTCAGATCATGTAATGTGCATTGGTTCAAATCTGGCAAGAGGATGGATATCACAAAATGTGTAGGAGGCAAGAGGAATTTCAGATCTCTGATACTTAGGTGGGTTCACAAAACATGAGTAGAAGATTCACTTCAAAATGTTACCAAAATTATATGGGACTGGATTTGAATTTTCTTGTAATTTTGTGGGAAATAATAAATCAATATAAAAGCAGTTTTACAAAAGGTAAATCCCTAAACCTAACCACTGATCACTGTTATACAGAATGGGAGTATCCAATTATACCAAACACTCTATGGTAATTAAAATGGAACAATTTTAAATAAAAGGGGCAAGGCAAGCAGACAGAAATAGTTTTGAACAGAACGTGTGGGTGCTGGTATCCATTTTCTTGCAAATTATAGACACATGAATTGAGCAAATCACTTAAATTTGGTGAATTTTTGTATAGTCATGGAGTTTAAAATCATGTTCTAGGTAAGAATGCTATGCCAACTGTCAAATCCCACCTGAGTAGCATGATTTAATGATATTTTTGTTGCTATGGATACCATGTTCATCCTCATCATTTCAAGTGGATTCAAATTGAACTCTACTTTCATTGATCAACAGCAGTACATAACCTGCCAGGAGTAGGGACTCTATAACAGCACACTCTGACTGAATATACTGGAGGTAACAAGTAAGTTTAATTTTCTAGCAGCTGCATCTATGACATGAAAAATGCAAACAAACAAACAAAAACAGGTTAAATTAACTCAGCTGTCTATTTCATGTAATTGATCATGTTTTTTTCATCATGCATTCATTATAAATATCACTATCAAGAATTTAACTTTTGAAACCATACCTCTAAAATTACAGCATATCTCAATTGCTATGGTAAATTTTCTTTAAAAATGCACTTAAGGTGAGTTTTAATTTGATAAAATTGAAAGAAAATGTTGATTTAAATACCTATAATATTCCCAACATACTTAAAAATTCCAATAACCGAACAAAACTCATTTTAAAATTCAAATTTAAAAAGTTAATCTGTTTTCTCATTTGCACTTGCCACATTTCAAGCATCTTGTGGGCACACATTATCGAACATGCCTTAGGTACATGTAATCAAGTGTCTCATGGTGCACATGGTCAAATACCTTGTGGGTACATGTGGTCATACATGAACTCTGAAGGTTAACTTCAGCAGGGCTTTTAGGTTGGGTCACTGCAGATAAGACAAATCAACCCTGGGGACTTTTGGTGGCTTCAAAATGCAAGAGCCTCGAAAAGCAATCCAATGAGAAGAGTCACGGTAATTCATATTAAGATGCCATTACTTGATATTTAAAAAGTACTGTGTGGTAGAGATTCATTGATGAGTGTCCCTTTTCTTGACTAAATTAGCAGCTGAAATGGAGATGAATTAACAAACAAGTTGTGGTTAGAAACGGATTAACTTACTTATATTGGATGTTATTTAATCTTCTCTACAACTATGAATTAACCAGTCTTTATAGGTATTTAGATGAGGACTAGCTCAGATATGTATTTGCAACAAAAGACCTGGGTGTTTAAGGAAAACACAGGGTGTTTTGCGAGACTGTGTATTATTAGAAAATGTTTCAAGTCCTGAGACCATAGAACCTTGCTCATTTGAGCTTAGTAGGTGCTCACATCTTTTCTAAAATGATGAATGGTGTCTCTCTGATTAGTACATCCATAGTATGAACTCCTGCCCAAGGGAAAAAGGAAAGAATCAAAGAGATTAGGTCATCTTAGGACCCACCAGCAAAACAGTTATTCCCGTTCTAATCAAAAGAAAGGCTCTAGGATGAATAGACCATTTATCTTGCTTTCTCTTTATCATAACTACTAAAATTTAGTAGGAGTAAGGAGTTCTACCTTTTTTGTCCTCTGTACATAGGAAAAATGCTAATACCTAGTAAGGATTCCATAACTACCATTTTCAGGTAGGTTACTAAAATACAGACTTGAACAATGGCTTGGAGAGCCAGCTTCAAATAGAATTTCTAATTTCCATTTGTAAACCTCCAGTTGTAAGTACCATCAGTGTCTGCATATTGCTGCTCAATGCAAGAAACCAGACTAATAGGTAAATAGTGACCCTCAAGTTAGCTGAGAAATTCTTACACCATCATGGTATTGCCTGGGTGCTGCCAAAGAACTCTTACTCCATGCCCATAGTGTTTCTGTGATCAAAAATGATGCCTGGGTAAGTTTCGTGGTCCATGGAGCTAATGGTCAGGGAGATGTACAACATCCTGAGAAATAGTATATCTTGTGCAAAATCCAAGTCAGGAGAGTTCTTTCCATACTTAGGAAATTGTGAGACACACAGGGTGTACCTTAGGATAAGTGTAGACTGGGAGGGAAGGAGGGAGCTGGAGACTACTCATGATCGGCCTAACATAGAATCTCCAGATTGTGTACTTTAATCCTAAAAGCCATTAGAAGACTGAAATGTTTTAAATAGGAAAACAGCATGAAGAAATTTACATCGCAGAAAGATCGCTAATGTTGAGAAAAGCTCTTAGAAAAGAATCAGTGATGCCCATTGCAAGGCAATTGTTTACTATACTACTAGTAGGGCAATGGGAATTTGATACAAGGTTGTACACTACAGTTCATTCTGCTGTGCAGATCTGATTGGAATTATCCATTCAGGCTAAGCATTGATGCCTTTCTGTGCATGGAAGTAAAGAAGCTGGGCTAGTAAAGATGATCTGATTCCAGACCAACAACCAGCCTTCCTCTCACTCGGGGAACAGTGGTATTGTGTGTATATAGATTGCTAACTTGATCATCAGCCCTGACAGCTGGGGTTCATATTAGTGTCAGAAGTAAAAAAAAAAAGGTGCAAATCTTGTAATCTTATCTTTGAGACAAGAAGTAGGTTCTTTGAAAAGACAGAGCCAAGAAAAGAAAATTCAGATCGAAGTGTGAAAGATTAGGCAGATCTGGGTTGTGGGAAAAGAAGTAAGGCCTTTCCAGGGAAACTGACACTGGAACCAATGTTCTCCTGGGGGCCGAGTGCAAATCAATCCCCAATAGGTATGTTCCAAACGTGTAACCCCCTACCCTGTCTCTGAAGCCTTGTAGCCCTTTAAGAACACTGGTTGCCATCATGAACAAAATGTCCAGTGGTAGGGAGTAATTAAGCCTTGGGAAAATGCTTTCCTAATTATAAAAAGAATAATTTTCCCACAACATGGGCTAATTTATTT